TTGTGAGAAGGGTGAACCCAGGGGCACAGACTCACAGCAGCTCTAAGTCACTGGTACACATCCTCACCCTTCCGAGTTCTGCCTTTGCTCCACGGCAGGTGCCAAGGAATGGGCTGTAGGACTTGAGAATCCAGGGACAAGCGTGAGAACCGTTTCTGCAGAGCGTCTCAGACGGTGGTTAGTTGTGGTGTAAGTGGGAGCTGCCTTAGTTCACTATCACACCACAGCAATTAAAGATCTTGGAGGGATATTCACTCCTGGCAGCTGCACTCCCTGAATGTCTTTTTCAATGGTGGTGGTGGAGTTGAGTTTGCACCGTTCTTCCCCCAGGGCCAGGGGGTCAGGCCCCACAACTGAGGAATCTCCTGAGCAAGGTGTCCATCAAAGGCCAGGGCCATGCAGATAAAGGCACTGAGCTCCCACACCGTCCCCAGCTCCCATGGGAGCCCGATTCCCAAGGAGCCATGCTGCTGTGATCCCCTCCTCCTTGGGAATCTCTTTGCCAAGGGCATCTTCTAATCCACCCAGTGCTGATTAGCGGATGCCAGAGAAGACTCTTGGGAAACGTGTTTTATCTCCTTTCTAGCCACAGCAGAGGGTCCCGTACACAATAAAACCTAACTTCTGTAGCTTACAAAGCACTATACAAAGGGGGTTATTAGTTCCATTTTACAGATGGAGAAACTGAGTCATAGAAAGGGGTGCTCACTTGCCCACGGTCATCCAGCAAACTGTGGGCAGAACTGGAAATAGAAGACAGATTTCCTGAGTTCCACTCCAGTGCTCAATCTTCTAGGCCACTTTGTTTACATATAGTATAAATGGGCCCAGGTTAACTGCCCCCCCCCCATGCATCTTGATTGCAAACATCCACTAATCTTAGAGAAAGGGCTTCAATCTGGGGTTTTGGTTCCCAGCTGCTCTTTCTGAAAACTCATGGAGCAGAATAAACAAACTGACTTCTACAGGGCTATTCCTGGTGATAGTTAGCACTAGTCCATTCTAATTTGCTAATCAGTCCTGGAAAGTTATTGTCCTACCCCCTCCCTCCCACACATACACATCCCTCCTCAATGCTGGTGATGATAATAATTTCCTCTGCTGACCTGCTGGCATCCATCAAAGTGGCACACAGTCTGGTGTATGGCTGCGCAAACCTGAGCCTAGGTGGTTTACAGGATAAAAAAGCCCCACTTTAACCAGGTGACATGCAGCACCTTCTGCTGTTGCTGAGAGATCCTGAGAAATACCAATCTCTGTTCTCTCTGGTTTCCTGCATTCGCTAAGCACTGAGGAATGAGCAATGCGTAAACATTCAATTACAGCAAAGAGGGGAGACTCAAAAAGGAACGCACAGCTGGCTGCTGCAAAACAGGGAGGTTAGCTCAGCAGTGAAAGGCTGCTCTGGATGTTCCAAAATATGGAGTGCTCCGATAAGTTATGAGGATTCATATTATGGTGATTTTCAATGGCTCTGTTTTAAACCCAGCTATTTTGTAATGAAGCCCTGCTGGCAAGAGCTGAGCAGGTATGTGAAACCTCGGAGAGAAACATAAAGAAGAGTGAAATCAGAGGCAGCAAATCCTAGGCGAGGCACTCTGCAATTAGAGATGAATACAATCAGAGAGAGCTCTTGGAAATTACAACCACAGTGTGATGCCCTCCATGTGCTGCCGTTTCCAATACACCAGCCACCAGCATTTGCAATGTCACCCCTAGGGAGGCCAAAAGGTATCTGAAGTTGTCTTCTCCCCACACTGTGGTTCCCAGTCGCTGCCCCAGGCACCCCTGCTGCCTCCCTTACCAATGAGTCACTACGGGCACTTCTCCATTCAGCAGCGCTCACACTTACCCCAGTGGGGTATGGCCTGAGATTGCGAAACTCTGGTTCAGTGCAGACACTTGAATAGGGGCTGGGGATACAACCAAGGTCTTTCCCTGGTTAACCAGCATGAGCCAGCTGCACCCGCGGAGACCTCCCCTTCCTACCCATCAACAGACAGTAGCTGCCATTTGGAGCAGGAGAGGAGGCCTCCCTGAATCAGGGTGGCACTTGAGTTGAGAGAGGGTTTTAAAACATCTGGTAGTGAGACTCCTAACCGCTTGTCTCCAGATCAGGGCCAGGATTTCTCCTCACTCTGCTTCCCAGTGGGAGCCTTCACAGGAGGTGCAGGTAGAGGAGGGACTGCCACATGCCTTTGGTCCTGGGAAGTGGTAGATCTCAGGATCAATGGGATACAGCAGCTCAAACAGCTCTAAGCTGGAGTGCTAACATCTCGGAAAGTGCAGAAATAACAGGGAGGAGCGCTTAACATAATGCTGCCTAAAATGGGCCCTGCAAACTCGATCTCTGTTTTGGCAGGCCACACTGAATGGTCGCAGATGCAGAGAGGTCACATGTTCCAGAGGACTGATCCTGGATTAGGAATCAGGAAATCTTGCATTCTAAATCCTGCTCTGCCATTGCATTGCTGTGTGGCCTTCCTCACACCCCTTAACCTCTCCGTAGATGGTATTCAGTTTCCAAGTGTGTAAGTCAGACTAAAACTTGCCTTTCAAGCTCCAGGAGGACTAAGTAGCTAGTGAGTTTTTACAGTGCTTAGTAGATGCAAAAGTACATGTGGTTTTTCCATGATATAAAAATCCAGGTCCTTGAGCAACAGGCAATTATACATTGTAACACAAAAGGAAGTGGGAATGCTGGCAGGAGAATCTTTGATACAAAGTGGACTGATCTTTCAATGGCTTTATAATGTTCTAAAGAAATGTGCAGGAAATAGGTAAATTAATTTTCAGTTATTATTCAGCCCAGGGAATGGTTCCATCCAATCTTCTAAAGTGCTAGTTTATATCATATTCCTTAGCTGCGAGGCATTAATAAAACATGAAAGACCAAAGCTCACCCCATCATACATGGCAATCCATGCATTATTGCTGCTCAGATTGTCCCAGAAATCTAGATACCTTGCTTTCATTTTCCACGAGAAATAGATTATTACGGACCATGCAAAATTAATCATGAATGCTTTTTAATAGGGCTTCACATCCCTTCCTCTGCAGCACCCAGAGAAGTGGCAGCTCCCCAGAGTCCTTCCCAGAATTCGCACTGAACCCAGCACCTGCTCAGGCTGGACTTGGATGGTCTGATTCAGTGAGGCCTGCGGGTGGCAGCCTCCTGGAAGCCGGGCTGTGGGAGAGTACAGATCTGCATGCAGTGCAAACACAATCAGTAAAGCTCAGGGTTAGGCACCTTGCTACCAAGTCTTGATGCTTAGATTTAGCAATGTGGAATGTGACTGCCCCTTCCAAGTTGCTTTGCTTCCTCCAGACCGAGCTCTCTCTGGTAAAGTCTTTGTGGATACCTGGTCTCCCCAGGGCATTGCAAAAGTGGACACAGCAAACAGCATCATAGTCCTAAGGAATCAGCCCCTGATCTGCAGGAGCAGGGGAATCCCATGGTAATGTAGTCTAAGGAAAACTCCAATTTCTCTTCATATAACACTTGAACAACAGTGGCTGTCCCACAAAAGCAGGCGAAGGAGGAGCTGGCAGGTCAAACGGAAGAGCATTGTCAGAGCAGTGCTGGAGCCCAGCTCTGGAATGCTAGGGAGGGGGGTTCTGGTTGAGACAGAGGTACCTTGGCAGAGTTCTTTGGGGGGAATCCCAGGCCTGAAACACAGGAGCTATGGCAGGATGGGATGCAGAAACAGCTGTGCATGGAGCAAGAGGCACTGCACCTGCCCACGTCATGCCTGACTCTAGCCACTGCTGTTGTTCACCTTCACAGATCAGAGAGCTTGCAGGGGCCATTGTGATCACAGAATCATAGAATCCTAGGGTTGGAAGAGACCTCAGGAGGTCACCGAGTCCAACCCCCTGCCCAAAGCATCTGGTCTGGTCTCCTGCAGAAGGAACCCAGCCCAGAAAAATGCCCCGAATTAATTCCTCTTGGAATGAGAACAGGGCTGCTTTTTTAAAGCCATCCAAGCTTGAATTTAAAATGGCCAGTGATGAAGGATCTGCCACAATCTTTGGTAAATTGTTCCAGTGGCTAATGTTAAAACACTGGTGCCTTATTTCTACCATCACTTCAATGTCCAGCCACTGGATCTCGTTAAACCTTTATCTGCGAGACTGAAGAGCCCTCTGAGAAAGATCTATCAATTCCCTGTCATGCCTCTGGGAGATCTTACTCTGTGGATTGTAGGTATCATTGTGGGCCAGGGATTGAATGTCATTCCCGGGATGAGGGGCTCTCCAGGTACTAAGAACTGGGGTGGGACCACATGGAGACGCTCAGACATCTTGGTTCAGGCTGGATTCCAACAGATACAGAAATGACTTTTGGATAAACAGCCTAACTTTAAACTGATTCAGGGCCTTCTCTTTGCTGCAGCAAAGTGACAGGACTGCCTGTCTCGGGGGGGCGGGGTGGGGGACGACAGACGCCTGCCAGAGCCTGAGCCTGGACTTGGGGTGTCTGCTGGTCAGCTTTCGCGTGTGGCGGTTCTGTTGTTTTTCCTGCTTTCTCTTAAGACTAAATGGGCATGCTTAGAATGTAGGACTGTGGGCAACTGTGCACCTCTGCAGAAAGAGCACAGAGCAAGAGGGCCTGGTTTGCTGGGAGTAACACAGGGCAGGCAGGGAAAGCCCTTGGTCAGGAGAGTGACACGGGTCTCATGCCCAAGAGCAGTGAGGGCTGAGAAGCCATGTGCCTAGATAGGGTGCGCTTGGTGGACTACGAGGAGGAAATACAGCTGCAGGTGTCCTGAATTGTGACACCCTCTAATACTAATATTCTGTTCCCTTGTAGGTATGTCAAGTCACCCCTTCACCTTCTCTTTGAGAATCAAGGTGAGATCATGCGCCAGGAGCCTCTCATGATAAGGTGTGTTTTCCCACTGAAATGCACTGGGACGGAGCCTTTGGCTGTTCTGACTGCTCTGTGCCACTACGGCAGCCCTAAAACCAGCTTAAATACACATTGATATGCTTCTGAGGAGTCTCCCGAGCCCATGGTTTCACAAGCACGGGAGCAGCTCCACCCCCAGTACCAGAGGTAAGTCTGGGGATAAGGATCAGGCCTGTACATGGAGGAGCCCCCCCCCCCCCCCCCCCGTGGTCCTCCAAGTAAGCATGCTCCAGCTGGCCAGGGGAAGGCAGGAGCAGCACGCTGCCCGAGCCTCCCTCACCCATTCTCTGGAAGGGTGGGGCTGATTTCCCCACTTAATTGGGGAACCATGGGGGTGCATTCACACCCTTGCTGTCCACGTTTACAAAAAAAGCATCTCTCACAGAAATTCTTACATACAGGCCTGAGGAGCGTATGTCCCACCAATCCCTGGCACCTGGAGCTGTTTGAGCTGGAATGTAAGCCTTCAGCACATGCAGACAGCCCCTGCATTAGAGCAGTCTGGGGCTGTGGCAGGGGATGGGTCCGGCTCACATCAGCCCCAGGTGGTGGATAATCAGACGTAGCTCAAAAGCACTTTCTGCTCCCATCTCTTCTGCATTTGCAGCAAACACAGCTCAGAAAAGCCAGAGATTTAAACCAGAGACTTTAACCTTCCCGGTTCATCTCATCCCACTCTCTCCTGTCTGGAAAAAGTTAAACCCTGTCTAATATTGAGAAGTGTGGGCGTCAAACATCTGATCTGAACCTCTTCTCCTACTGAGAAGTTTGAGTTTAAAAAGCATCAGCAAAACTCCCAGGACAGGGGAAAAATGTGTATTTTTATACCCACACATTTCTAAATAAATCCTGTCACCTAATCCTGTTAAGTGAAACCTGCACATCCAAGGGAGTGGATGTCTGCTCCTCTGAAACAGCTTTGTGCAAGAGTTTTGCAGAGCAGTGAGAAACAAAGGCACAATTAACAGGCACAAAAGTAGCGGATACTGAATTCCCTCTAGCTGCAGGCTGTCCATTCCTTATGACATAGAGCTGCATAGAGTGGGGAAGAGAGTGACTTGTTCTCATGTTTACAGTTCTTCTTCACTGGTAAAATAGGCACTGAGATGTCTCCAGCCTCAGCATGTATCCCCGGGTCACAGAGCACTACGTCCGAGGCAGGGGAAATGATTCCATGGTTAGATCTCCTGATTTTATGTCTGCTTCACCAGCTTATTATATGTAGCATATATTTTTCCTGAACTAGTGCTCAGAGGCCATAACTGGGACATGATATATGTAAGTTCCTTTGTGCTAGGTGCTGGACAAATGTGTATAAAGACACAGTTCCTGCCTCCCAGAGCTTTGATTAGAGCACTAACTTGAGACTCGAGAAGCCCCCTGTTCTGCCACTGATTTTCCATATGACTTTGGCCAAGTTTCTTAGGCTTTACAAAGCCTAACCCTGTGACCTCTGAAGCATGAGTTAGGTGCTATGGTTCACTGCTCAATGAATGGGGAGAGGTGAGCACCTTTGAATTAGAGCCACAAAAGCCAGAGTTCACTGTTGTCACACTCCCTTCTCTGTCTTCCTTCCTTCCTTCTTTCCTTCCTTCCTTCCACATCCGAGGAAGTAAGTTGTAACACACAAAAGCTTATGCTCTGCTATCCTAATAAATGTGTTAATCTTTGAAGTGCCACCAGACTTCTATGAATATCAAGAAACTCATCAGTAAAGCTCAGGTTGCAATTTTCAAAGCTGTCTAGGAGATTAAATGCAAACTCCCATTAAAATTAATGACAATTATATCTTTAAAATCTCTAGCTGTCTCCACCTCAGCAATGGTTTCTAGTTACTTTTTCAATCAATCTGTATGTATGGTTTCTGTAAAGGGAAATCATGCCTTACTAATCTACTAGAGTTCTTTGAGGGGGTCAGCAAATATGTGGACAAGGGGATCCAGTGGATATAGAATACTCAGATTTCCAGAAAGCCTTTGACCAGGTCCCTCACCAAAGGCTCTTAAGTAAAATAAGTTGTCATGGGATAAGAGAGAAGGTCCTTTCATGGATTGAGAACTGCTTAAAAGACAGGAAACAAAGGAATAAATGGTCAGTTTTCAGACTGGAGAGAGGTAACTAGTGGTGTCCCCCAATGGTCTGTACTGGGGCCCATCCTATTCACCCTATTTATAAATGATCTAGAGAAAGGGGTAAACAGGGAGGTGGCAAAATTTGCAGATAATACCAAACTGCTCAAGATAGTTAAGACCAAAACAGACTTGGAAGAGCTTAAAAAAGTTCTCACCAAACTAAGTGACTGGGCAACAAAATGGCAAATGAAATGTAATGTGGATAAATGTAAAGTAATGCACATTTGAAAAAATAACTCCAACTATACATACAAAATGATGGGGACTAATTTAGCTACAACCATTCAAGAGAGAGATCTTGGAGTCATTGTGGATAGTTCCATGAAAACATCCACTTAGTGTACAGCGGCGATCACAAAAGCAAATAGAATGTTAGGAATAATTAAAAATGGGATAGAGAATAAGACAGAAAAAATTGTATTGCCTCTATATAAAACCATAATATGCCCACATTTTGAATACTGCATATAGATGTGGTTGCCTCATCTCAGAAAAAGATATATTGGCATTGGAAAAGTTTCAGAAAAGGGCAAGAAAGGGGTTTGGAACTGGTCCCATATGAAGAGAGATTAAAAAGACTTGGATTTTTCACCTTAGAAAAGAGGAGACTAAGGGGGGATATGATTGAGGTCTATAAAATCATGACTGGTATGGAAAAGTGAATAAGGAAAATTATTTACTTATTCCCACAATATAAGAATTAAGTGTCACCAAATGAAATGAATAGGCAGCAGGTTCAAAACAAACAAAAGGAAGTTTTTCTTCACTCAGCGCACAGTCAACCTGTGGAACTCCTTGCCAGAGGATGTGGTGTAGACTAGGACTTTAACAGGGTTCAAAAAAGAGCTAGATAGATTCATGGAGGTTAGGTCCATCAATGGCTGTTAGCCAGGATGGGTAGGAATGTTTGTCTGGAAGTGGATGACAGGAGAGGGATCATGTGAAGATTACCTGATGCATTCCCTCTCTCTGGGGCACCTGGTATTGGCCACTGTCGGCAGACAGGCTACTGAGCTAGATGGATCTTTGGTCTGACCCAGTGTGGCCGTTCTTATGTCTTTAAGATAGGTGGTAGGAATAAGAGTCTACAAAGAAAGGCAGATTTGCTGGCTACTTTGTCCACCTTAGGTCATAGCTGTATATTTTATTTTCAATCCCTGAAGCACCTGCCACCCACCAAATGTAGTGGTTGGGGGATGCTGCTGCTGATCAGTCTCAAGTGATGAATGTTAGCAGATTGCTCTGGTGAGAAAATCCAAACACCCAGGAAATGTCAGGGGTTGGTTTTCTGCACATTGTGTCCTCTTTCCAGAGACACAGGGATGATTGATCACACAACAGAGGTGCCCTGTTACGTTCTGTGACGTAGTGGGGGTACCTTGCTGGTTGCTATGCTGGGCAGTGGGCTGTGGTGACCTCCACTGGCTGCTGTCTCTAGCACTGCCCAGCAGGGCAGGGGATGAGTCATTATGCAAAGGGGGCTCCAAACCTGTCTGACCAGCTATCTCCAAGAGAGCAGGAAGAAGGGGAGTGGAGCTCTGGCTGGGGTCAAGGCTGGAAGTGAGTTAGTTAGTTTCTGTCTGGGAGCATGGAGGAGACATCCTAGGGAAAGGGACTGGAATTTAGGGGCCCAGTCTCCCCCATCTCAAGGGGGGCTGAGGCATCCTAGGCCTGCCCTGGAACCAGATGACATCTATGCTGCGCTGTATCCTGGAGAAGCAATAAACTCCCTATACTCTACTGGCTGGTGGAGTCTGTCCGTGCCATTATGGGGGTGCAGGAGACAGGAAAACCCCAGCGTGCTGTCACACTGGTGGATGGAGCTTCCAGCGGCGAGTGACAAGGCGCAGAAGAAGCAAGGGCCTTAGAGCCAGGCATGCTGGAGACAGAGCGAAGCGGTTCCTGAGAATCGTGGGGCACTGCAGCACTAGACTGGTGAGTCTGCACTGAGGGGACCAGCGGGCAGATGGCCTACGCCCAACTCTTGAAGGCAGAGCTGGTGAAGCTGTGCAGAGAGAGGAGCTTGCCTGTGCGGAAAGCAACCAATGCCCAGCTGATTACCAGACTGGAGGAGAATGACCAGTCACGGGGCCAGGATCTTGTGCCCGTGGGAAGCAGCCAGACCCCACCTGAGAGTATGTCAGGCTCTGAGAGGGGGCGGGGCACTGGAGCCCGCCGGAGAGATGGGACAGCTTCCCAGGGGAGGCCATCTAGGGCAGGAGCCAGCCCAGCAGAGCTGCGGCGGCTGGAGATCCAGCTGTGGATGAAGAAATTGGAAGTAAAGGACCGAGAGAAGAAGCGCCACGATTGAGAAAGGGACCGCCAGGACCGAGAGAGGCAGCGACAGAGTGAGTTGGCCATGGCAGAGTGGAGAAGCGGTGGGCCCCTGACTGCGCTGAGTGCGGATGGGCCCCAAGTTCCCAGGACTGCCAGATGCTTGGAGAGGCTCATGGTGGCCCAATTGAAGGACGTGGGCAACATAGACGGGTTCCTCAGCTTCCTTAAGAGGGCCTGTGGACTGCAACGGGTCCCCCCAGCTGACTGGCTGCAGGAGCTCATCCCCGCACTGAACCAGGAGGCGGCCGGAGTGCTCAGTCAGCTGGAGGACCTACAGCCAGGGGATTACAACCGAGTCAAGGAGGCCCTGCTGCACAAGTTCAGGCTGATCCCCGAGATGTACAGGAAGAAGTTCCGGGGGGTGAAGAAGGAGCCACGGGAGACCTATGTGGATCTGGCCTTCCGCCTGGCACAATACTGCCGCAAGTGGGTGTCTGGAGTCGGAGCCCAGACCGCAGAGGAGCTGCTCAGGCTGTTCATGATGGAGCAGTTCTATGAAGC